AATAAATCCACACGAAAATACCCAGGTGCACAACTACACATGCTGATCAACATTCCTGTAAAGTTTCATGACTCTAGGTCAAATACTTTTTGAGTTACATGCGACACAAGTTGAAAATTGCAAAATTTTACTAACTCAAGGGCAATGACTCAAATAATACTAAAAATATCCAGATGAAAATACCCTGGTGCACAACTACACATGCTGATCAACATTCCTGTAAAGTTTCATGATTATAGGTCAAATACTTTTTGAGTTACATGCGACACAAGTTGAAAATTGCAAAATTTTACTAAGTCAAGGGCAATAACTCTGAAAATACTAAAAATATCCAGATGAAAATACCCAGGTGCACAACTACACATGCTGATCAGCATTCCTGTAAAGTTTCATGACTCTAGGTCAAATACTTTTTGAGTTACGTGCGACACAAAAGAGAACAGACGGACAGACAAGGGTAAATCTAAATGCCCGCCACTAAAGTGGGGGCACAAAAATGTGACCACTAGAGTTTAACAAAGGTTTTCCATATTTGGGCAGTGTGATCTAGTTTTTGATCCCAGGTGACGCATATTTCAACTTGACCTAAAAATCATCAAAACAAACTATCAGATCAATTTCCAGGATATTTGTATCAAAACAGTAGCCACTAGAGTGTTAACAAGATTTCTCTATATTTAGCTCCTGACAGTGTGACAATTTTTTTCATTCGAAATGACCAGGTGACCAATATTCAAACTAGACTTAGAAATCCTCAAAACAAACTATCAGACCAATTTCCAGTAGCCACTAGAGTGTTAAACAAGATTTTTCTATTTTAAGCTCCTGTGACCTAGTTTTTCACCTGAGAAGACCCATGTTTGATCTCATCCAAGCAATTACCTAGACAAGCATTCTGACCAAGTTTGAAGACAATTGAGTCAAAAATGTGACCACTAGAGTGTTAGTTAATTAAGGGAAGCGTTATGAAAGGTTTTTACATATTTGTGAGTTGTGACATAGTTTTTGACCCCAGGTGACCCATATTCGAATTTGACCTAGAAATCATAAAAACAAACTTTCAGACCAATTTCCAGGATGTTTGGATCAAAACAGTAGCCACTAGAGTATTAACAAGGTTTTTATATTTTTATCTCCTGTGACCTAGTTTTTCATCCGAGATGACCCATGTTCGAACTCATCCGAGCAATAATTACCTAGACAAGCATCCTAACAAAGTTTGATGATGACTGAGGCAAAAATGTGACCGCTAGTGTTAACGAACAAATGTGGACAGATGACAGACGATGTCTGACGACATTCAACCATCCTAAAAGCTCACCCTGAGCTAGCTCAGGTGAGCTAAAAATATTCCGAGACAGTACACATTATTATTTCTAACCCATTTTATCATGAATTTTCATTTTTAGCATAGACACAGATACACAATTTCCGACTTGTTTGTTAGAATGCTGCAAAATGTCAAAACAGCAAACTTCTTTAATTTTTTTCCGGGTAGAAGAAACGATAATGAAACAGACAATAATATGATAAGACTGTAAAATGTTCGGCCACACTTTTACTTCTGCAAGAAGACCGCTCAATTTTGCTCATGATGATTTATTTACCCTCTAAGGAATATTGTTCAAATATAATCATTTCAATTACATGCATTATTCCATACAGAGTAAAATCATTTTGAGCAATTGAGTTGTCTTATCTAAAAATTATTGTCTTTTTCAGTTAAAGTGTTTATATCATTTTGTACCCTAGACCTCTAATTTTCTTGTTCTGTGCATCCACTGAACCCTTAAGAATTATTCAGTGTTGTAAAACCATACAATGTTAAAGTCATTTGTAGCAAAACTCAGCAAAATTCAAAAATTTGAATTTGAACATCAAGTTTATCAAGGTCATCTATGAGTTCTGAGTCCAAGTTTCAGATGGCAGAGGCATCGGTCAGCAACAGCGATGACAATTACACCAAGACTGAGGGAAAATAAAAAAAATTGGGACTAAAAAACTGCTAACTTTAAAGAAATAAAACTGGATGTCAGACAAACAACAGATTAATAGTTTAGTGTAGACAATAGTTAGTCTAGACACTAGTTACCAACTTAAAACACTCCATGAAATTTGCACTAATTCCTAGAGATACCCAAGGATTCTTAAATAGTAACTTACATCTTGGCTTTATTGTATACTGCTCAAGTGAACTCATACGAAATGTTCTTACTATACAGCCAACACAATGAGCACAACAAAATATTTAGAAATTTATTTAGTACATAGCAGAAAAATAGCATTAAGGTAAATGACACATGAAGAGCTTTTAATTAATGCTCTGATTTTACCAAAAACCACAATCCTTCATACAAACCTCATGCAATCCTTGGCAAGCTGGAGGTAAAATTCTATTTTTAGTAACAAACTGGTTTTTCAAAGACTAATTATAGACTTTTTTATGTAATAATTGGTTTCCCTTCATAATAATTCCCAAAACCATGACAATATAGTTTTCCTCATAACATATGTTGCTAATTAGTCTCCCTTTAATCACCTTGAGGTTAATTCACATTGGCTACAAATATTTGAACAGCCTGTTGAACTGTAGAAATTGACTTTCTGAATGTTTACTGAAAAACTGTCAGCTGCCAAAAATACATTTTTGTAATCCCAAACTATCTTTGCATTATATATACACTCAAAAGTATCTGCTTATTACAAAATTTGTGAATACTTTCTGTACGAGAGTTGATTTATCATCTTCATGACGATGATTTAATTATTGATAAGTGATAACTAATGGCAAAATTAGGCAATTATATTTCAAAACAATAAAATCTGTTCTTACAAATTTAAATTTTATTATTTTTCTCTTTGATAAATTAGTAAATACAAATATTTTTCAAACTTGCCAGCCAGTGAGCCAAGTTATGCAGTAATTTTGGCTGCTTAAGACAAGTGGCTGATTGAACAGAGGGTCAAGCTGGTGGCTGACTAAATCAAGGGTCAAGCTGGTGGCTGACAAATCGAGGGTCAAATTATCATCAAAATATATTCCTTATTTATGTAAAGCTAACACTAATATACTATGCTTGTGATCTTATGTACATAATCATTATAAAATACAGTAATTTTTTTTATTTGTTTGCTTCCCTTAAATCCTTTGCTCGAAAAAGCTCTAATTTCTTCATTACTGTAGAAGGTCATATGGTCACATCGGTCCACAGCCATTTTACCAATAAGACCATGATTCATGCATACAACTTCATGAGAATATAATGCTACAATCTAAGCTCTAGGTCAAATACTTTCACACAAGATTCTTAAATTGAAGTCTGTACAAATTAAATGATCTTGTAGAAGAGAATATGATTTATATAACTTTTGTAGAGGGCCTCACCATGCAAAATATGTTTGCTTCGGGCAATGTAAGTTTCTGACAAGTGGATTTTTACAGTAACTAAGTTTCTTACACAAGTCCATATAGTAAAGTGATATGGGGATGAGACCATTTTTTACCAATTGACCATGATTCTTGACGACCCAAACAAATAATGGTAGCGAAATTTTAGACCCTGATGTTACATTTGCAAATACCGAAAGTAGTCCAAACTCCTCGAAGAGGTTACTTCGCTTCATATGTACAGCAACACCAAAAAATTAAGGGGAGATCACTGCATAAAGATTGTCAAATGACAGGCGTATTAATTTTCGTAACGAAAAAATAGTCCCCGATTGGTCGAAAATTTCTAATATTGTGTTATTCTTATAGATATACAAAGTCATGCTAATATTCAGCCCCATGATTATTTACTTCAGTGTTAAACAACAGGTTTACCGTGAACAAAATATATCGAAATTAATAATTGGGTTACAAACTCTAATTTAGAATAATATGTTATTCTTCCAGCTGTTATCTTATAACTCCCCGTGGTCGAGGAGTTTACACGCTTGCTTTGGAAGCGAGACGTCTGGAGTTCAAATCCCAGTATAGGCAACTCATGTTTTTTTGTTTTTTTCATTGTTTAAGCCAAATAAACATTGAATTGAATATCACTGTTGCAATTAGTCTTATAGCCAATTTAATATAGTTATAAAACAGCATTGCATAGTGACACTATACAAACAAATTGGTTTATAATCTCACAACCTTCACTTTTCTGACATTCTGAGACCCAATCAAATTCAGTGCCTTCTGTGCTTTGATTTTAGTTTTGTAGAGGTCCACTATTTAGTTATTTAGTTATTGGTCATTTACATAGAGGATATTTGTTTGTTTTTGCAATTTAGATTGAAATATGTTTCACTGAGTGAACACCAGATGCAATATTTTCATGAGTGGCATGTAGCCACAAGTAAAAAAAGAATGGCTGGTGTTCACGAATGAAATATATTTCAAACTAAATGTTTTATTTCATGCTTTTTAACTGATTTTTAGTAGTGTTGATAAAAGACCTCCCTAATGCTAGTGTGCTAAAAGATGTCTATTTCCTGAAGCTCATTTTTGAGATCCATATTTAGTTGAACCCCCCCTACCCCCTGTATATGACACAAACAACACAAGATGGCCACATGGTAGAAACAGGACGTTGGAACAAGCATCTATACAGAGTTAACATAAAATAAACCACAGACATAACAAACTGCTGTAACTCATGACACTGTCAAAACTGTATGTAATATTGATATAGTCTATTTGTCAGGGACAATTCTCAAAATTTCTAGAATTTACTTAAACTGACACATACTTAAATCTTCACTTTTACAGATGTTTGTAAATGAAATAAAAACTTACAATTTCATGGGGGAAAAAGTAATAGTTATGATGATATCTCAAACCCAAATTACATATAATTATGATTAAACAATACCATTATCAGTTAATTAAATTCTATATCCTTATAATTTTCTTGTTGGACACACAATGATACTGTGACTGGGTCACAACTTAAAGTATGGCCATTTAAAAGAAATGTAGGCAACAAAAACTGTAAATATATATTAAATATCTATACCTTTGTTTTTTACAGATATTTCTCTTCTGGCAAATAGAGAGTGCTCAGGTGTTGATTCACTCTAACATTATTATCCCTAACAGGGAAGATCCTTCACTGAATCAGCCCTGCTGAAAAAGTTTGAACACAATCACGACATTGGTCTTTTCCTGTTGTCCAATTTACTGTGGTCTGTATTTTGTAGTTCACTAATTTGTCTACAGTTTGATGCACTTTCTTTGTCTACAGTTTGATGCACTTTCTTTGTCTACAGTTTTAAAGCAATGCCACGGCTCTGTACCAATATACTATTAATATGCAACTGCGTTCTTCCTTTCTTTTGCCCAGTCCTGAAATACAAAGACAGACAATTTTGATATATGGATAAAATCTAACATTTAGATAGTATTTATTAATAAGAGATTAATACACAGCAGAGTAGGGCCGGAAGGTGATAATCGGCCCGCAACATGAATAATGGCCCGAGGACTTCAGCCCGAGGGCATTATTCATTTCAGGGCTGATTATCACCTTCTGGCACAACTATGACGTGTATTAATGTCTTTAATACACTTGGTAGATTTAATAGTAGCATTATTTTTGCTATGAATAAATACTCTGAAATTTCTTTCCTTGAAATTCCTGTCTGCATTTCTACTGTAGACTCTACTGTACAGTTCAGTAACTTCTACAGAGTTGTTTACTTTTTGTGTGTTAAAAGTACACTAGTGTAGGATCTAGAAGCAAATTTTATTTTCATTTTTTACGGAATTAATTTGTCGTAATATTTCTTTAATTTTCAAAAGTAATAAAACTGTGTTTGTATGAAATACGCTTCAGCTCTCATAATAACATCAAGCGATTCGTGCTTTTAACCTTCTTTCACTTTTACAGTTAACTGTTTGATGACATAAAATATAACGTCATTGTTTCAGTTTCTGCACTTGTACATGTTCGGCTGATAACTAGTTCTCGGCCCATGGACGCGAACTCATAATAAGTCACATGACACTCATAATCAGTTGAAATCATAGGTGATTTTGTTACTATATATAGTAACAAGTGTATTAATACTGTACAATAAATGCACTGCTACATAATGGATAAGTAGGTGAGTAACATCACATGACTGAAAGAGTATTTTTGTGAATGAGTTTCATTTGAGTCAAATCTTCAATTAGTATGTATTATTATACATGTCATATTATTGTTTTTACTATTTCATAAGTTTTACTTCATTCATTTAATGGGCCACTAGATTGAATTATCAAATTTTGAATATAAATGCAGATAACTGATCATTCATTAATTTTGAAATAATTAAATAATATAAATTAAGGTTAAATGACTGTTATTTTTGCTATTGGATGTGAGATATATATGTTATAATCATGCTATGACTTAAATTGTATATATTGTGAGGTATTAATGATCTCAGTATGTCCATGTATTTAGCATTGCTATTTTGTTAAATGTTTCAGCGCTTGATAGAATTATATGTGAGGATTCATTCATGTATATATTTACACATTCATATTACTTTCATTTGTGTTTGGAAGCTTCATAATTGATTGGAGTTTATCAAAAAGCTATGATGGCTGATTTAGTACGTTTTTGTATGTCTTAAAAGTTGGCTCTGGCGACAACACGACAAAGCGCCAAATGGCGCATTATGATAGCACTGTCGTCTTGTTGGCTAGCAACAACACGTCAAAGCGCCAAATGGCACTTTGTGGCACTGTCGTCTTGTCGTCCTGTCTCTAGTGCGGCATGCCAAACAGTGTGTTGTCGTGCAGCCCATTGTCCCGATGTCGCCCTGTTGCTTGGCTTATAAGCCAATCCTTCAATTTGAACCAGGCGACAATGTGACATCGCCACAACACGCCACACAACAACGCGCCATTTGGGGTGCCGCGCTAGAGACAGGAGGACAAAACGACAGCCTGACAACGCACAATTTGGCGCTTTATCGTGTTGTCTCTTGAGCCAACGAGACGCACAAAAGCATACAAAATCAGCCACCATAGCAAGTACATGATGTGACCATAACCTCATGGGTTAAATATTTAATATTTATACTAAGATCATAAACTGATGACATTTCAATTAAAAGTTATTGAACGAACTCAGCCTCTTTATAATTTATACCTTTACATCATAAAGGGCATAATTTAGACCAATGTAACATTAGCAATGTATTTATTTTCCAAATCTTTTGGTTTGGTTTAAAGTGTACAATGTCTGTTTTAAAAACGTTAACAGCCATAATTATAGCCTTATGATCATTTTCACTTTGCAGTAGTCTAATTGTGAAAATTGATGGGCACAGCTGTGATTGACAGAACAAAACAGAACAGAACAGATTTTATTATTCAATATGACTTGAACATAACAGTTTCTCGTCATTACACAAATATACAGCATACAATAAATACAGGGAGAATGAAAATACAAACATACAAATATACAAATTTAACATTTGGTGTTATCATACTAGTCATATACTAAGAGGATATTTTTTCGTTTGAGTGAAATATGGAATATATTTTCACGAAACATGATAAAATGCCACATATTTTCACGAGCCGGACGGCGAGTGAAAATATGTGGCATTTTATCATGTTGAGTGAAAATATATACCATATTTCACGAAAAACAAAAAAATAACCTTTTTATTTAATTTCATTATCAAAGAAAAATGGTTACAAACTCTATTGCTTGCTACGCAACTGCAATTGTACAGCGCGCAGTAATATATTATTGCGTCTTGTTTTGCACGCGATATTTGGCGCTACATTGTGACGTCACGTAAACAACTGTTTAAACGTCTGTATAGCGTTAATAACTGAATTAAAGATATTGGTGTTCGGATAAATTTTCTTAGTTAGACCATTTTCTATCATTCTAGATAGTTTTTTTCAAAGCAAAATTCAACAAAAAATTGTTTTGTATTTATCAGATTTTTCAAACAAAATGGCGAAAGAAGTCCCTTAAAATAAATATGAGTTTTAACTCCGCCCAATTTCATATTTATATTTCATATTTATTTTTAAAAAATATGAAATATATTTGACTGATATAGCACCATATTTCATGGATAAAATTAAATAAATTATTCATATTTTCATTTCTAATTACAAAATATTGCTAATCTATTCAAAGAATAAAGTATTACATCTATTTAACAGATCAATAAATTTAACCATAATGGGATGCCTATAGTAAGAAGCAATTATCATAGTATTGCAAGCAATCCATAAGTCCCCTACCAGTTAGAACCCCAGCAACACTCTGATGGACCATTGGCCATTCGATTATGTCATTGAATGAATGAATGACATGAATATTTTAACTTAAATCTTTTGAGTTCTAAGTTTGTCTATATCATAGTAAAATCATGTGTTAAGTTTCCCTGCCTAATAAGGAAATTACATTAATACAACAGATAATCAAAAGGTCCAGTTCTCTCAGGATGAATCAGTAAAACTAATGATTCAACTTTTCTCTATTTTAGTAAATTTTTTGGAAAAAATGTTTAAACATGATCTCTGGAAACAGTTTTTATGAACAGACAGACAGACAGACAGACTGAAGGAGACTCTAAAGTTAATTTTTTAAACATCCCTGTAACCAAAATAAAACTTTTTTTAAAGCGAAATGCTTAAAGAGGAGATAACTCTTTGAAATAAAGATGCTAGATTTATGAACATTGTCATACATGATGTTAGTGTAATAAAGAACAATTATTTTCAGTTAAAAGATACCAATTAAAGTCACAAAGAAGAAAAGTAAAAAATACCAATTTTCAAATATACAAGTAATGAACATGTATAGTAACAAAGATGACAATTAAAAAAAATATAGATCTAATGTAGGTGTTGATAATGAATGTTTATTTTGAATTTGAAGTAAATCCACGAAGAAATAAGAAAGTTAAATTTTTAAGAATGAATAAGAAAAATTCAAAAGTTAAGTAGGAGATAATTCTGGAAATTTGGATTATGGACTTATAAACTTTGTCATATTATTATGCTGTGGGAGTTTGAAGTAAATCCTATAAGGAATGAAAAAGTTGGAATAAAAGATACCAATTTCTTGGAAAAAATCTAAGTTCAAGGGAAATAGTCTTGCTAGAGTATTGAACCTTCTCACAAATGTTGAGTGATAATAAGAAACATATATATGAAGTTTGAAGTAGATACATTAAGAACTAAAGAAGTTATTTAAAAGAACACATTTTTTCAAGGGAGGTCATTTTGATAATTTTTGTGCTAGAGTTGTAAACCTTGTCACATATGATGTGGTTCATCTGATGACCAGAAACTTTTATTTTAAGTTGGAAGTAAATACCTTAAGAAATAAAGAACTTATAGTGAACAAGAGCACCGCTAGGCGGAACATTATGTGGTGAAAGTGTGTGTTTTTTCTTTTTAGTAAGGAAGAAGCATTTGTAAGACATGGGAATTGAATAAAGTATTAACTCCTTCAAAATTAATAGCAATCCTCCTATGAAGTTTGAATATTGTGGGCAAAATGGAACTCAAGTTATGCTCAGGAAACTGTTTTCTGTTTTAAGGTAATAGTGACCTTGACCTTTGACCTTGTGACCCCAAAATCAATAAGGGGTTTTCAACCTAATATGGACAATCATCCTATGAAGTTTGAGCACTGTGGGCAAAATGGAACTTAAGTTATGCTCCGGAAACTGTTTTCAGTTTTAAGGTAATAGTGACCTTGACCTTTGACCTTGTGACCCAAATATCAATAGGGGTCTTCTACCCAATATGGACAATCATTCTATGAAGTTTGAATAGTGTGTGCATCGAACTTAAGTTATGCTCCGGAAACCAAATTGCTAACAGACAGACAGCAGACTAATAACATGGTATATACAATTTTCTTAAATCTGAATAAATAGACATTGGCATTCAGAGACTCAAGAAAAAAGACCCTGTTCTACATAGCTAATAAGACTACAAAATGTAGACAAGCTGCTTCAAGGGCTCTGCCCTCACAACTTTATAACATTGTCAAATGCAAACACTAACTTACAAACATATTCAACAAATTGCCATTTAAACCTTAAAGTGCTCACCTGAGGACAGAATGGTGTAATGTTTCCTACTGTTATAACTTATAGCACTCTAAACGCTGGCTCTTTCACATTTTGGTGATCTATTTATATGAGAGCCATCGACAATTCCGTTGTAGAGCCATCAGTCAAAAACAAAGCTGAAAAACATAAAGGCAAACACAGTTAATCTAACTATATCCTTTTTTAAAAGATATGCCTGTTCTTCAAAAATCAAAGAATGCTATGTATCGAAGAACATATTTCTCATAATTTTGGATGCCATTTCGATATGAACTACCCGGTATGCCAAAATAATGTTGCTAGAACTTTTACCTAATAGAACATAAAACAAGAGGGCCATGATGACTCTGAGGTCGCTCACCTGTATATAGCCCCCCCCCCAACATCCAACCCCCCCCCCCCCAACGTTGCAGGGCCAATTTAACCCAAGGGCTTTTATTTGCACAAACTTGGTAGACACCAATAAGAAGATGTTTCATGCTAAACATCTAAGCTCTAGCTCATTGGGCTTTTTAAAAGAAGATTTTTTTAAAGTTTCTACTATACACATATAGTTAAAAACAATGACACCCCTGGGGCCGGGCCAGTTTTGACCCCAGGGCTTTTATTTGAACAAACTTTGTAGACACTTACTAGAAGATGTTTCATGCTTAATATCTAAACTCTAGCTATTTTGGTTTTTTCAAAGAAGATTTTAAGTTTTAGCTATACACATATAAAGAAAATCAATGACCCCCGGGGCGGGGCCAATTTTGACCCCAGGTCTTTTATTTGAACAAACTTTGTAAACACTCACTAAAAGATGTTTCATGCTTAATATCTTAACTCTAGCTATTTGGGTTTTTTCATAGAAGATTTTTTAAGTTTTTGCTATACACATATAAGGAAAATCAATGACCCCCGGGGCGGTGCCAATTTTGACCCTAGGGCTTTTATTTGAACAAACTTGGTAGACACCTATTAGAACATGTTTGATGCTTAATATCTTAGCAATAGCTCTTTGAGTTCTTTAAAAGAAGATTTTTTAAGTTTTTACTATATGCATATAGGGAAAATCAATGACCCCCCGGGGCGGGGCCAATTTTGACCCCAGGGCTTTTATTTGAACAAACGTGGTAGACACTTATTAGAACATGTTTCATGCTAAATATCTTAGCTCTAACTCTTTTGGTTCTTTAAAAGAAGATTTTTTAAGTTTTTACTATATGCATATAGGGAAAATCAATTACCCCCTGGGGCGGGGCCAATTTTGACCCCAGGGCTTTTATTTGAACAAACTTGGTAGACACCTATTCGAACATGTTTGATGCTCAATATCTTAGCCATAGCTCTTTGAGTTCTTTAAAAGAAGATTTTTAAGTTTTTACTATAAGCATATAGGGAAAATCAATGACCCCCCGGGGCGGGGCCAATTTTGACCCCAGGGCTTTTATTTTAACAAACTTGGTAGACACCCATTAGAACATGTTTCATGCTAAATATCTTAGCTCTAGCTCTTTGGGTTCTTTAAAAGAAGATTTTTTAAGTTTTTACTATATGCATATAGGGAAAATCAATGACCCCCCGGGGCGGGGCCAATTTTGACCCCAGGGCTTTTATTTTAACAAACTTGGTAGACACTCACTAGAAGATGTTTCATGCCAAATATCTAAGCTCTAGCTCTTATTGTTTTTTAAAAGAAGATATTTAAAGTTTTTTCTTTCGGTTGCCATGGCAACCAGAGTTCTGCATGGAATTAAATTCTTTGAACAATTTTTAAAGGTGACCACCAAAGGAACATTCCTGTGAAGTTTGGATGAAATTGGCTTAGTGGTTTATGAGGAGATGTCATTTAAAGTAAAAGTTTACGGACGGACCAAGGACGACGGACGGACGCCGGACGAAAAGCGATCACAACTGCTCACCCTGTCACTTTGTGACAGGTGAGCTAAAAATGATATTACATAATTTATTCATATTACAAAAAACTGGAACTCTGCGAGTCTGATGTGTCGCCTTGTGAACAGTATAGCTGTCACTTTCTTCTTGAATATAGGTTATTTATAAACACCACTCTTATAATGTACATGTACCATGAACTTAAGTGGCATTTGAACTGATTGTAACAATGTTACATTAGGATAGATGTAGCGTCAGTAGCTTTTATTGTGTAGGAGAATTGGCCTGTATTATAATTAACAAACCGCAATAACTATAAAATTATGCAATACAGAATACCGGTTCTAGAGTACTGCTCTTCTTCTCAATAAGATCTATCATCCGATGAAGTTTCAAGTCCATAGCTTTTATAGTTTAGGTGAAATGGCTGGGACAAAAATAAAGTATTATAATCAACGAAGGGCAATATAAACTCTAGATTCATGAAGAACAGAGTGCTGGTTAAGCAACGAAGGGCAATAACTCTAAAATCATGAAGAACTGAGTGCTGGTTTTTGTGCACAGCACTTCTTCTCAACAAGTTGTACCATCCGGTGAAGTTTCATGTCCATATCTTTTATAGTTTAGGAGTAATGGCCTGGCCAAGAATGAAATATGAAAAGTAACAAAGGGCAATAACTAAAAAAATAAGAAGTGCAGAGTACCAGTTTTTATGCACTGCACTTCCTTTCAATAAGATCTATCATCCTATGAAGTTTCAAGTTAAAATCTTTTATAGTTTAGGAGAAATGGCCCAAACAAAAATAAAGCAAGAAAATCAACAAAGGCCAATCAAACAAGAGCCATGTCAATATGGCCATCCCCCGCCGAATGTGTTTGCTCATTGGAAGAATGTATATGTAGTAGAGCAGAATAATTCCATTTTAAGAGGTCTTTTGGTAATGAAAACTGATGGCTATAGTGATTACAGATTTGAAACCTATGTGAATACTGATGGCTGAAAATAACAAAGGGCAATAACTGAAAAATAATGCAGGGTAGGTTATCATTCTTGTGTGCTGCATCCCTCCTCAGTAAAATCTATCCACCTATGAAGTTTCAAGTTGATACCTCAAATACTTTTTGAGAAAAAAATTGAATTGAAAAATTAAGTATGAAAAATAACAAAGGGCAATAACTCAAAAATTATAAAAGGTACAGTTATCATTCTTGTGCAGTGCACACCTCCTGAGTGAGATCTATGCACCTATGAAGTTTCATTTTGATATCTCAAAGGCTTTTTGAGTTATGCTCTGGACAAAAATTAATTTTGAAAAATAACAAAGGGCAATAACTCAAATATAATTCAGGGTAGAGTTATCATTCTTTAGCACTGCACTCCTCCTCAATGAGATCCATCCACCTATGAAGTTTCAAGTTGATACCTCAAATACTTTTTGAGATAAGCTCTGGACAAAATAGCATGAAAAAAATAACAAAGGGCAATAACTCAAAAATTGTATAGGGAAGAGTTATCATTCTTGCGCACAACATTCCTCCTCAATAAGATCTATCCTTCTATGACATTTCATGTTGATATCTCAAACACTTTTTGAGTTATGCTCCACTCAGGTGAAAAATTAGGTATGAAAAATAACAAAGGGCAATAACTCAAAAATTATGAAAGTAAGAGTTATCATTCTTGTGCACTGCACACCTCCTGAGTGAGATCTATGCACCTATGAAGTTTCATGTTAATATCTCATAGGCTTTTGGAGTTATGCTCTGGACAAAAATCAATTTTGAAAAATAACAAAGGGCAATAACTCAAAAATCATGCAAGGTAGAGTTATCATTCTTGTGCACTGCACTCCTCCTCAATGAGGTCTATCCACCTATTAAGTTTCAAGTTGATAACTCAAATACTTTTAGAGATACGCTCCAGACAAAAATTTCGGACGGAAGGACGGAAGGTCGGACGGACGGACGGACGGAGACTATTTCTATATCCTCCGCCGAAAATTTTCGGCGGGGGATAATAAGAAGTGCTGCATACCAGTTTTTGGATTAATAAGATCTATCATCCTATAGAGTTTAAAGTCCATAGCTTTTATAGTTTAAGAGAAATGCCCTGGACAAAAATAAAGTATGAAAATTAACAAAGGGTAATAACTCAAAAAATAAGAAGCACAGAGTAACGATTCTTGTGCACTGCACTTTGGGTCATTGAAAAAGTATGCATACCAAGTTTGGAGAAAATCCGACTTAAAGTGACTGAGTTATGCTCCTGACAAGCCTTTGGGGACGCCGACACCGACAACGACACCCGCCGACAAAAGTAACCCCTATATGTCGCCTTTTTCAAGGCGACACAAAAAGCAAATCAGAGTAATGGGACTTGTGCCAATCATGTAAGATAATCACAGAGAACAAGTATGTGAAATTTAATCAATTCCCTTCAGTAAGTTATGGAGATACCAGCTAAATAATACAAGCAAAAACTTAACCAAGAATTTGTAAGTCAAAAAAGGGGCATAAAAATGAAAAAAAGCAAACAGAGTTATGGGACTTGTGCCAATCATGTTAGAAAATCACAGAAAACAGGTGTGTGGACTTTCAATCCATTCCTTTCAGTAGTTATGGAGATAATTACCAGCTTGCACATAAAAACTTAACCACAGGGATGCCTACGTCGACACCGACAAATGGGTGACTGTATTAGCTCGAGTATTCTTCCAATAGTCAAGCTAAAAATGCAAACTTAACTTAAATGTATGCCAGAAACAGAGTAAACCTTTTACATTTAAACACAAATACTTTAGCATCTTTCAATTAACATTTTTTTATTTATTGAAAGTTTCTCAGTACCTGAGAATTATGGTCAATTGTCAAAAGATCAAAGTGGCATACCTACAAGAGCATAATGCTTTTATGTTCCCCGATAAATTCTTTGTTATATAAGTAGCTTAAGGTCTTCAGCGTACCCGTTTATATACTATGACATGACGTGAACGCTGCATCAGATGAAAAACAAAAATGTTAAAAAGCGGCTTATAAAGTTTTGGAAGCCAGAACTATTATATAAGAGGTTCAAAACACCATTTTATGATGAGTCTAATGACTATTTTTAGATTTTGGAATACCAGCTGCAGAATTATTTTTAGAGAAAAATGGGTTTATCCCAATCTAAAAATGGATACCTTTAAGTGGATTTCCCTAAAATTTCACATAGTTATATATATATATATATGCATGGGTCATTAAAAAATATGCCAAATGG